AGAAGTATGAAGTATCACTTTCTTGTTATCACGGATTTTAAGTTGTCAAATTGTCAGATCTACTCTGAAATTAAAGGTCTACTTGTCAGTGCTCATGGCATCAGAAGGTAATCATAGCTTCCATTTCATTGAGTTTTTATCAAGTGCCCAGCACGGTGCTGTGCACTTGATGCTCATTGTCTCATTTCCTCCTTACCCCAGTTTTGCAGCTGAGGAAACTAGGCCTAGGAGTGTAAGTGACTCTTCCCGGCGGCTCAGCTAGTGGTGAGTGGAGCAGGGATCTGCACATAAGCCTCACTGACTCCTGACCCCCTTGCCTCCCCGTCCGCAGCCTGTGCCTCTAAAGCAGATGAGCGATGTTTTGTTTACCCTCATCCCTCTGTTTTTAACATACAACTTTTAACTCTTCTTTAACTCCTATGGGTACATTCATAAATTAGAACCGGGATCGCTGGAATTGTTCTTCTTTTGCTCCTTTCAGTTCTACATGTGCTTGTAAATAGCCAGCCCTTTAAAAGGTGCTGTGTTGTTCAAAGCCAGATGAGTACTTCAGACTTGTTTCCTTCTGGAGTCTCCATGTAAGAGTTCAAAAGGAGATAATCGTCTTCACGGGAGGGACAGGAGTTAGGGGATCAGTCTAGAAAGGTCTATTTGTCATGACCTTTGTCAGATGAGTTTGATTTCACCAGGCTCAGAACAAGGAACACTGTCATGTACTATCTTGTAGTTAGTTGTACTTAGTGTGGGTTAGCATTTAAATATTTGTACACTACCACAACAAAGTGAGTTTGAACTTAAAATACTGAAATACTACTATGGGGGTAAGGGTGGCAGGGGGAGGAGGGTTATATGCAAATCTGCAGACTTCCATTAGAGAGTAGAGCAGAGGGGAGTGGTCTACCATCAAAAGTCATCCTCAGTAAGGGACAGAGTGTTTGCTTTACCTGAAATTACATTAAGGAACAGCTTACTGTCGTAGAATGTAGACCTCAGAAGTGAAGAATGTTAACTATAATGGAGAGGTTAGATAGATTTCAGTCAGTCTTATCCCTTACATTGATTGCTATCATTTAAGTACTATTTGTAAATTGATTTTGTGATAATACCAAATTAACAAAAGCATTTTAGAAATTCAGAAGTACAGCATGGGCTTTGTTCTGTTTTGTTTTTCCGTATAGTTACCTCTAGGAAACTTGTTTCTACCACTATCTATTCTGCTTCCGTAAGTCATTTTGTCCACAAGACTTGAAGATGCCTCCCCCAAATCCAGCCTGTCTATGCCATGGGTGGTATTTTCAGCATCCTTCTTATATTGCCATAAAATAAAATGCTGAAGAGAGAGAGTTTTAAGAAGGGCTTCACAGATTGTTACCAGAGAAGAAGTGAGTGGTACTTGGGAAGTTAACTTTCTGCAATCTTGTAGATGATTTATTTCAAGCCCATCCAGTTGGTCTAGGAAAGGCATGGTAAAGCCTGGGTGGACTGATTTGTGATTTCTGCATCTTCATGTATCATTATATAGGCTTCCCAGGTGATGAACCTAATTGGTATTCCTCTGTACACAAACCAATGTAAGTTAAGATGTGATTACCATTTTGCTATCTTTATTCTGAGGAAAGATTCACCAAAACACAAGAGATTTTTAAAAATCTACATTGGTTTGGAAAAGCTTATAATATTTGAAATTTGACATGTGAAAATGGGTTTAAAATAATTACTAATTGTTCCAGTCCAGGCAAGATATAATATTAAAGTTGTCAACATCACATGTCCTGCACAATGAGAAATTACAGCTGTCATGGGGTCTGGTCTTTCCTACATACGGAGTTTTATACATGTAGAATTCTAGTGGCTCTTATATTTTAGAGGAAATTCCAGATTTTTAAAAATTAAAAATCAGGACTGTTATATTCCTGTAGAATTTAATTTGGAAAAAAAGTCTTTAAAATAAGAAAAGCAAGTATCTCTTTCCTTTTAAAATGTTTCTGTTAGACTTCTGCTTATTTAATCTCATCCCCCTAAGGAACCCATTGTTATGATTTCGGTACATAGTTGTGTGAGAAGATATTGCTCCAAAATTTCTCAACTTTTTGAAACCTTATTCAGAAGAGATAAAACTAACTTAATTGAAAGGGAAGAATTATAGGTGAATCGAAGAACTGTCAGTATTGAATCTTAATGTATAAAAGCATCTGTGTTCTTTTTATTGTTCATGTCCACACATGTTGATTTTTCTAGCCACGCATTAGTGTACATACACGTCAGACGTTTAGTTCTGGGTTGTCCGTTACAGGAGCCACAAGCCATGGGGCTCTTAAGCGCTTGAAGTGTGGCGGCTAGTCCAAATTGAGATGTGCTATAAGTGTAAGATATGCACTGAATTTCAAAGACTTTGTACAAAAGAAAGAATGTAAAAATGTATCAATAATTTCTTACATTGATTACATGTTAAAATGACAATATTTTGGATATACTGAATTAAATAAAATGTTATTACATTGAATTTCACTCGTTTCTTTTTTTTTCAATGTGGTTGCTAGAAAATTTTAAATTTCATGTGAAGCTTGCATTTGTGACCCACATTATATTTCTGTCGGAAAGTGCTAGTCTAGATCATCTATCTGTCTACATACTTACGTTTTAGTAACAGCGTCATCTTCTTAGACAGAAAAACCTATTGTATAACTTCCAACTATAACCTCTGATTTTATTTTCTTACATTTTATGTGTTTTTTTTGTGTGTGTGTGTGTGTGTTTTGTTTGTTTGTTTGTTTGTTTTTGTGTGTGAGGAGATCAGCCCTGTGCTAACATCCGCCAATCCTCCTCTTTTTTTTTTTTTTGCTGAAGAAGACGGCCCTGGGCTAACATCCGTGCCCATCTTCCTCCACTTTATATGGGACGCCGCCGCAGCATGGCTTGCCAGCAGTGCGTCGGTGCGCGCCCGGGATCCGAACCAGCGAACCCCGGGCCGCGGAGCGCGCGCACTTAACCGCTTGCGCCACCGGGCCGGCCCCTTATTTTCTTACATTTTAAATGCTGTTTTTCAACATCATCATTTGATTCTTTGTCTTCAATCCCAGTACAGTGGTACTTTGCCTCTCCCTTTGACACTAGTACGTCTCCTAGGAATTTAAATAGGCCTTAGTGAAAGCAATACTTGAGCCTCATTCATATGTTCAAGTTAGATCATTATTCCTAATAATGGCTTTAAGTGCTTAGATAGATCAGCACTTCGTGTCTTCGGTTGCTCGTCATCTGTTTATAAAGACGTGTCAAGAAATTGCACAATGCAATCCCTTCTTTCATTGTTTTCTAGCAAAAAGTAACATAATCCTTTATTAGTTAGTTGGAAGTCAGAGAAGAAAAGCCTTTTATATTAGCAAAAATAAAATGTATTTCCAGGTACTGAGAATAAAGAGCAAAATTAGTCATGAGTGATAGTCCTGCGAAAGTTAATTTTTTTAATAAATCATGAATGCACTGGCAACCTGCCAGTGGCTTTAACCTCTATTTTATTTTCCCATTATGCTTGGGTCCAGGTTGTCATCAGCTACCATGAGGAAACCTATGTAATTCCTAGAGAGAGAAAAGTTGCGCTGTTAGACTTAATAGTATGGTAGTCATGGAAGCGTCAGTTATCTTCATCAAGGCAATTCAGATTTGATTATTGTAGAACTGTGTTGAATACCAAACCAGTGGAGTAGTAGCTGGAGCTAAATCAAGGGATTGTCATTTTTGTCAGATGATTAGGGCTGACTAGGGAAGAGATATGAAAGGGTTGAGCTGTGTAAATATTCTCTTTTCAGCAGAAAAAGAAAAGGTCCATCATGGCCATTAAGATGCAGCTTGTTAGCTTGATGAATTTCAAACTATTTAACCTTAGCAATTATATATCCCCACCTCCATGCAAGTATATCAGTGCCTTGGGATTATGTCTCCAGGGATTGATATTGAAGCATATTGGTAATTTTCTATTAAGAGAAAATGCAGCCTGTCTGTGTCTAGATAGATCTCTCAAAGGATAGGGCATGCTCTGGTTCAAAATCCTAATTATTAATTCAAATCATATATTCAGGTAAACATTGTAACACATTTATTTATAAGTTTTTTAAAACTTTTCTTAACACTTTAGAGATGATGGTATTCATTTAAGTTATGCTGTTAACATGTTACATTTTATAAACTGGAAGTATATTTGTTTAATTTTTATTTGCCTATGAGGGACTTGTCTATTTAAATAATAGACACATTAAATAACAGCAAAATATTTAAATAGACACACTTGACCTAATGATTCAAGGACATTTCTGCAATGATTATAAATAATATTAAATGCCAGAAAAGGCAGTATATGCTGCTTTTATGAAATGTGCATTAGTCAATTTGCTTTTGTGTTGTGATGGTACCCTGCTAATATTTTCACTACCTGGGCACTTATTAAACTCGTATGTAAGAATAGATGACATAGAAATTGCTAACTTGAAAAGAATTGCTGAATTCTGAAATAACACATTGATTTTAGGAGAAGAAAGACTCAGTGTGCCATCTAGTGGGCATATTTAGCATTCTGGTTATCAAAAACTAACAGTGATTTTTACTTTCTCCAAAATACAGCTTTCTTGACACTGTCTCTCAGCCCTTACGCATAGATTGTGCTCATGTTACATCTCATATAATTTTTCAGTTTTGTTTTAATTTTATCTGATTGTGTTTTGGAAAGTCATATTGATCCAAATCATCAAAAATAAGTCTAATGACAGAAATACATCTATGTAAACTATGAGACAGATAAAAGTAAAATATATTAAAACAATTGCAGTGTTTAATTAGGACTAAGATCAGTTAAGACAAAATTTCAACAATAAAAGCAAAACTAAAGCACACAAATTATTAAACTTCATTGTTATATGTATTTTTTCTGAAGGATATAAAAATCGTTTTTGTTCTTTTGTGTGTTAATGTATAATTTAAATAGCTTTATACATTTTTTTTCTCTATAGAGAAATCCAAGACCAGTGACTTATCAATTCCATCCAAATTTAGATTATTACAAAGCACGGGGAGCAGACCTCATGAATAAAAGCCGGTAAGTCCTCTTTCTCTGATGAAAGTTATAAATCACAAAGATATTCTGAGAGATCATCAGGAAATTTTACACATTTGCTGAAAATAATTTTCCAGATTTCAGAATATCAGTGGTTACTGCATGTAATGAATCTTTGTTAAATAAATTATCTGTTTTTTTTAAAGCCATAAGAAAATGATATACATCAATGTCAGTGGTAAGATGAAAAATTAAATAAATGTAAGAGTACTTGTTACAATTTGAAGTTAGGCAACTTCATTTTTCTAACACTAATAAACCTGAATAAATTGTGCCTACTTGTATAATCTCTTTCTAGATCCTTGCTTTTGATTGAAAAGAGGCAGTTCTATAATATATTTTTAAATTATTTCAGTAACAAAATTAAAATTGGGTTTCCCAACTGTCTTTAGAACTACACAGTAAGCTTATAAATGCATCTTGTGTGTGCATTTGTGATTATATACATAGAAATTTTAAGGGTCACTGTAGGAATAAAAAAACATTAAATCCTACTTTTAAATGAAATTAACATTGGCATAAAGGGTTGATGAACAGTTTTGTTCTTTCATAATACTGTGCTCAGATGTCTCAGGAGTTAACTTTTCAAACCAGAACCATCTCAAATTAGAATGTAATTTCAAAGTTTACTCTGCAAGACTAAAATGTTAGTAATGATAAATGCTGCCAAGTTGTCCGAATTTTCTTCCTTAAGCATTTGCCTATGTGCTAGCTTTTCTTCAGTAGGCTTCCAACAACCTAAATATACATTTATGGGGTGCATATACACGATGTGTTCTGCTCTTACTTGGAGAGTTAAAAAGAAGACATAATTCCTGCCACACACAAACTCATAGTCTAAGGGATGAGAAGAGGTTTACAAGAAAGCAGCTAAATTTAAACTTGTATTTTGAACCCTGTTTTAGTGTAATGTTATTTTTAAAGTACCCATCCATGACTGAAATCTGTCTTATGTTTTGATGTACTGTGTAATTATGAGACAGTTCTATAGCCCAGGAGACTTCTCTGAAGCTCTTTTCTGTTTATTCATTTCATCTGGTTCTTGTTTCACAAATAAAAGGCCATTCCCTGTAGTCACTTTGTTCATTTAATTTAACATATTTTTGTTGAGTACCAGACTCACATTATTCTAGGCATCAGAGATACTCAGTAAACAAACCAGACAAAAATCCCTGCCCTCAGGAATCTTACAGTCTAATCACTTGTATTTCTCCCGTCATGTTAAGTATTTAGTTTTGGTATGTTTAAAAGAACAAAGTATTTTAGGTACTTTCTTTATACAAGATCTTTCTAGCTAGAATCCCTTCTTCTCTCCCCACTTCTTCCTCACCAGTACCACTGGATTAGTTTTCACACAACAGTGGAAGAATTATCAATTTACAGCAGATTATGTCACAGCCCCACTTAAACCTCTCGAAAGGCTTCCAGTTACCGCTGATAATCCAGTCTTCTTCCTGTGCCCCTTCCCTCTCTCTCTGACGTTATCTCCTTCCATTCTCCCCTGCTCTGCACTCCCATGCTTGCACCTGCCTGGGGCCTTTGCACTTAACTCTTCCCCCTTCCTGGAGCACTTCTCCCACCCTCATCTTCCCTTGCCTCTTCATGATTTAGGGCTCAGCCCAAATATCATCTCAGAGAGGCCACTTCTGACCTCCCTGTTGTCTTCTCCTCCCCTAGTCACTCTCTACCCATTTCCCAATCTTATTTTCATAGCATTCATTACTAACTGAAGTTATACGCTTCATTTGTGTGTGCATCATCTGTCTCCCCAACTTCCCCACTAAAATGCAAGCCTCCTGAGGGCAGGCACTTTCTCTTACTCACCACCTAAGGGCACCTCAGATAATGCCTGGCATAGGGAAATTACTCAACAAATATTTGTTGCATGTATACTTGTATTATCTTTTGACATTTTTCAACATCTACTTTTTTCTCCAAAAAAGGAAATGAACTGTACCCTTTCTTTTCTACCTTTCATGTTTTCTTTCTTCTATTTAGCTTTCTGTCCCTACATTTTTCTTCTCAAAAATGTTGGTTCTGTTTTATGTATTTCCTTATAAAGCACATTGAGATTCCTCTATAAAGTGTCATTGTGATGATTGGAGGGAAGGTTTTTCATCATCTCTGTTGTGGTTTCAAAGGTTAAAATTGAAGTTGAACCAAATGAAACAGTGTGTGAGAAGACATCACAGACCAGTGAGCAAGGGAAGAGTTAATAAATGTGTGCTGGGAAACTTGACAGATCTTTTTTTTTTTTTAAGTTTTTATTTTTTTTTTTTTCCCCCAAAGCCCCAGTAGATAGTTGTATGTCATAGTTGCACATCCTTCTAGTTGCTGTATGTGGGACGCGGCCTCAGCATGGCCAGAGAAGCGGTGCGTTGTTGCACGCTCGGGATCCGAACCTGGGCCGCCAGCAGCGAAGCGCCGCGCACTTAACCGCTAAGCCATGGGGCCGGCCCTTGACAGATCTTTTGAAAACGTTATCAACTTATAACCTTACCACACACCAAAATAAATTTCAAGTGAATCAAAGTGCAACAAGGAAACACAGAAATAACACAGAAGTGTCTCTCTGAACTCTAGTTACTAGAAGACTTTTTAACCTTAAAAGTAATGGAAGAAATCACAAAGGAAACGACTGGTGGATTTTGCTACACAAATGTTTTTAAGTAGATATGTCAAAAATAAACTGAAGCAAAAGGCAAACAGAAAATTGGGAAAATATTTGTAGTGGAAGTAACTGATAAACTCTAATATCATTAACGTATAAAGAACTTATGCAGTTCAGTAAGAAACACAACATCCTGTCTCAGCGGCCGTTCCTTCTCATGCCATGCTCTCTTGGATTCTCTCCTTCTCTGCCTATAAATGTTGGAACACCTTCCAGGCTTCTTTTCTTCTCTGCACCCCTTCCCTAGAGGATCTCAGCCCAGGTTCCTGGTTTTAAATACCATTTATGACTGAAGGGTCCTTAATTTATATCTTCAGTTTGTCCCCTGCCCTTGACCTCCAGACTTATATAGTCCACCACCCACTCAGTTTTTCCTCCTGGATTCCCACATGCATCTCAAATTTAATACTTTCCAAACTAAAATTTTGATTCCACCTCCACAAACCTGTTTTTCCCCCGGTGTTTTTCCATCACAATCAATAGCACAACCCAGTTGATAGAGCCTTAAAATTGCCCTTGCCTCCTCTTTTTCTCTCACATCACATGTCAAGTCCATCAGCAAATCCTCTTCAAAATATATCCTGAAACAAATCACTTTTCTCTCTCTGTACTGCTAATACTGAGTCACCACATCATTGCTCATCTCACTACTGTAGTCTCCCAACTGGTCTCCCTGCTTCCTCTCCTCTTCCTTATAGATCTTTTCCACACGGCAGCCAGATTAATGTAAGTCAGATCATATCACTCTACTCAGAGCCCTTCGGTGGCTTCCCAAAACATTTAGGATAAAATCCAAAGCCTTTTCAATGGCTTACAAGGCTGGCCCTATGTGATCCAGCCTCCTGTGTCTCCAAACCCATTTGTTACCACCACTCTTCTCATTTGGTCACTGGACTCCAGCCACACTGGCTTGCTTACCATTCCTCAAGCACACAAACATGTTCCCATTTCAGTAGCTTTGAGCTTGCTTTTCCCTGTGCCTAGATTCTTCCCCAAGAATCCACGTGGCACACTTACTATCCAGTCTGTGTTTACATATTATCTCTTTGGAGAACCCCTCTTTCACTGCCCTGTCTAAAATAACTGCCCCCTTCATTCTGTCCCTTTGCTTTGTTTTGTTTTGTTTTTGTTTTTCTGTTTTTTATAGCAATTCTTAATTACATGAAATGGTATTTTTTAAAAATTTTATTGGGTATTTTTTGTTTCTTGCACTGAAATGTAAACTCTACATGTTTGTCTTATTAACTGTTGTATATCTGCACCTAAAATAGTGCCTAGAAAACAGGAGGCACTGAATGAAAGAAGAATTGCAAACAGCAGATAAACATTGAAAAGGCTGTTTACTCATAATTAGTGAAAGAAATGCAAATTAAAACACCAATAAAGTACCATTTTCACCTTTCAAATTGGCAAATTAAAAATATATGAGCCAGGGGCCGGCCCGGTGGTGCAAGCGGTTAAGTGCACACGCACCGACGCACTGCTTGGCAAGCCATGCTGTGGCGGTGTCCCATATAAAGTGGAGGAAGATGGGCACAGATATTAGCCCAGGGCCAGTCTTCCTCAGCAAAAAGTGGAGGATTGGCAGATGTTAGCTCAGGGCCGATCTTCCTCACACACACAAAAAATAATAATTAAAAAAATAAATGAGCCAGAGATAAATAAGTCCTAGAGATCTACTGTACAGCATAGTGCCCATAGTTAATAATACTGTGTTATATACCTAAAAATTTGCTAAGAGGGTAGATCTTACTTTGTCTTCTCATCACAAAAAAATTAAATAAATAAAAAATAAAAAGAGAGCAGGAAGAAATTTTTGAAGGTGATGGATATGTTTTGGTATAGATTGTGGTGATAGTTTCACAGATGTATACTTATCTCCAAACTCATCAAGTTGTACACATTAAATATGTACAGCTGTTTGTGTCAGTCATACCTCAATAAAGTGGTGTAAAATGAATGAGCAAGCTAGCACTGGGGAAGGTGTGTGCATACCCTTAGTCACCAATTGAGGGAGTATAGATTGAGACAAACTTGATAATCTTGCCAAAGAATTCTTCCAATTCCGTATGTAGCCCTTATATCCACCACATTATTCCCTGGAGGTTTGTTTATCGTGTCACTACTTTATCCATGATCAAAAACCAATGTAGCCATGAAATGGTTAATAAAGTCCCCATTTAGCTATTTAAGGCCTAAGATGCTTATACCAGGCTGGGCCCTTGAGCCGTAATTAGCCTTGCAACTACTTTCTTAGCTGTTTAGAGGCTATTAAAGAGTTAATGTATGGGGGCTGTCATTGAGTAGCAAG